TCACTTGCCTTAGATGTGTTCCAGAACCTCTCTAATACTCAACCTCATCTTTTTTAAAATGAACATATAAATAGTGCTATTGCAGTGTGGACTATAGGCATCAAATGATATGTCTGTCATATTGCTGGTACATAAGAGGTGCTTAAAGATGCATTTCTCTTCTCAGATTAAAGTAAATCACACACTTGCAGTAACACCAGGTTGTCGTGTGATCCCTGGAATGAAATTATTTCTAGCAGATACCAATAAATGTCCTGGGTAAATTCCAGATCCTAGCCAGGAAGGCTTGGGGACAACCCCAAAGCCATTTTGCTCCTCCCATCCATATTATCCCATCAGTCTTTGTCCAGCTCTGGCCCTGACTTTTTGTTTAAACCTAATTTATTTCAGTAGACTGAGGATTTGGAGCTTTTTCCCCCATTGACTCTGTGGCCGGGACTCTCCTGACTTTCTCTCTTGTCCTTACTTTCTCAATAGTGACCACAACATGACAAACACAGGCTCTGGGGTCAGACTGCCAGATATAAGACTTCACTTTGCCTCACAGCCCAGAAAAACTGAGCCAATAACTTTGCCCTCTCAGTGCCTTCCTCTACAATAGCAGCTACACCTTAGCGTTAGTGTGAACATTAAATGAGTCAATAGCGGGCAGCACCGTCAGTGATCCACAAGCAGTTCCTGCTTTTATCATTAGCCTCGTATCCTCCTCTCCCCAGCCCAAGCCCTGTTCCAACAAGAGACCATGCGGCTCAGGGGAGTTTTACTCCCAGCTCTGCCACTTCCGGGTGGCATAACTCTGGGCAAGTAGCATGACCTCACTCCATTTGATCTTCTATTCTGTAAAAAGGAATCAAATAGACCTGTTTCTCAGAGGCAACAAATAAGCCTGCACATGGAAGATCCAGCTCCATAACTGAGCAGAGTAAATCATTTTGTTAAGTTCCTTCCTTTCTCTCCCTCCTTAAGCCAGACTCATGACACCTTCCTACCAAGGCCCCTTATTAAGAGCCATTGTCTGCAGAGCCAGGGATTAGGGTTGTGGCTTCTAATTTTGTGTGCAAGGTAGGGGAGGCAGTGAACATTTGTATTAGGGTTCTGTAGAGGGACAAGACTGATAGGATATATGCATATATGAAGGGCAGTTTTCTAAGAATTGACTCACATGATCACAAGGTGAAGTCCTACAATAGGCTACCTGCAAGCTGAGAAGCACGGAAGCCAGTCTGAGTCCCAAAACCTCAAAAGTGGGGAAGCCAGCAGTGCAGCCTCAGTCTGTGGCCAAAGGCCTGAGAGCCCCTGGCAAACCACTGGTGTAGATTCAAGAGTCCAAACACTGAAGAACATGGAGTCTGATGTTTGAGGGCAGGAAGCATCCAGCAAAGGAGAAAGATGGAGGCTGGAAGACTCAGCCAGAAGTCCTTCCACATTCCTCTGCCCTTTTATTCTAGCAGTGCTGGCAGCTGATTAGATGGTTCTGGCAGCTGACTGAGGTGGGTCTGCCTCTCTTAGCCCACTGATTCCTTTGGCAACACCCTTGCAGACACACCAAGGAATGATCCTTTGCATCCTTCAATCCAATCAAGTTGACTCTCAATATTAACCATCACAGCCTGTGCCTGCTGAAGGCTCCAGGCTCCACAAAAGGGCAGTAACCTCCGAGGAGCGGGGCCTCTCTGAGTCCTTTTGTGCTTCTGTCACAAAATACCACAAACTGGGTAATTTATAAACACAGAATTGATTTTCTCACAGTTCTGGAGGCTGGGCAGTCTCAGGCACTGGCAGATTCAGTGTCTGGTGAGGGCTGCTCTCTGCTTCCAAGATGGCATCTTGTTGCTGCATCCTCAGATGTAAGAAGGGCAAAAAGGGCCTGACTCATTCCCCCCAGCCCTTTCATAAGATCCATAATAACCGCCTCAAGCCCCTACCTTTTAACGCTATCACATTGGGATTTAAGTCCTAACACATGAATTTTAGGGGACACAGTCAGACCATAGTGGGGACCCAATAGAACTTTTCCTCTGTGGGCCAAGGCAGCAGATCCTGTGCCCAGGAGGTGAAGCCTCACCCTGGCCATCTTACGGCTTTGCTCCTGACACTCCTGAGGGAGGGAGCAAGTGTTCCTTCCCAAAATGGTTGCAGCAGACACGTGTTCTTTTTTTTTGTTTGTTTTTTCTTGAGGTGCAGTCTCGCTCTGTGGCCCAGGCTGGAGTGTGGTGGTATTGTGCTATCTCAGCTCACTGCAACCTCCATCTCCCAGGTCCAAATAATTCTCATGCCTCAGCATCCCAAGTAGCTGGGATTACAGGTGCCCACCACCATGCCCAGCTAATTTTTGTATTTTTAGTAGCGATGGGGTTTCACCATGTTGGCCAGGCTGGTCTTGACCTCTGACCTCAAGTGATCCACCTGCCTCAGCCTCCCAAAGTGCTGGGATTATGGGCGTGAGCCACCATGCTGGGCTGAGCCACGTGTTTTTGGTTGAATTTTGTCAAACTGTGAGAATAATTCTCTCAACACCTATCAAGTCCCTCGGGAAAAGAAGGCCAAGCAAGAGGCAGCTGTGTGGGTGTCAGACGGGTCCTAGGCAGCCCCACATGTAGCCTGAGATAGGGCAGGAAGCCTCCCTGAGCCTCAGTCCATCCGTGTACTCAATAAGATACTCAGAGCATCTACTGTATGTCAGACACTTTACAGGCTCTGGGAATACAAGAAAAATGATGACTCCTACCCTCAAATAGCTAACTCTAGGTAGGGAGAGAGTTAACAAACAGGCAATTGCATACCATAATGCTGCATAGTGGTGGGTGTTTTTGAAAAGCAAGGAAGCGGGGCTGGGAAGGGCTATTTAGAAATGAGAGTCAAAGAGAACCTCTCTGAGAAAATGACCTTTAAGTCAGATGAAGAGGAGTAAGAAAGCAGGACATACAGAAGCCTAAAAGAAGATTATTCCAGCAAGAGAGAACGGCATGTGCAAAGATTCTGAGGCCAGTACTGGAGGGACATCATGAAGGCAGTGGAGCTGGGGCAGAGAAAGTGAGGAGAATGAGATCAGAGAAATACAAGAGACCCAGGGTCGGCGGCCTTGGAGGCCATGGTCAGGACTTGGCTTTCCTCCAGGTGACTTAGAAAGTCATGGTGGGTTTTGAGCACAGGAGTGACAAGTTTTGTTCTTTAACAGGATCACTGTGGCTCATCTCTTAAGGATAATCTTAAGATTATGCTTAAAATGAAAAGCTGGGAAATCAGTTGACAAGCTATTGCAAAAATCCAAGCAAAACATGATGGTGAATTGCGTCAAAATTGGGTTGCAGTAGAAGTGGCGACAAACCCTCAGATTTGGATTATATTTCAAGGTAGAACAACATGATTTCCTGATGGAGTGGCTGTGGGTGGAAGAGAGAGAGACAGAGAGAGAGGAAGGGTGGGGAAGAGAGAGAGAGAGAGAAGCTCAGCCTGCCTCCAAGTGTTTTTGTTTCCTTAATCAATCAGAAGGATGGAGGTGCCATCAGCAGAGACGAGGAAGGATAGAGCAGACACAGTTTTAGAGGCTCCACTTTGGACTTGATAAGTCAGATGTCCATTCAGCATACAGGTGGGGGAGTGGAGGATGTTGAATACAAAATTGGATGTATCTCATTTCATCTTCAAAACAGTATGTGGGTATATATCACCATGTTGCAAATGAGGAAACAGCTGCCCAGTGGATTGAAGTTCTGTCTTAAATGGCACATCCTAAGTGTTAGAACAGCATGTGAGTAATGGGATCAGGGTTTGAATCCCACTCGACTGGCTGCAGAGTCCATACACTCCGCCTTCTCCACATTGCTCTTGAAGTCTTTGTATTAGCAGAAGGCAGAGTCTCAGAGCTAAGCACCCCCAGGTACGGTACGTTTACTGCATGTGGCACTTTAAAGGAAATATCTCATTTAATTCATACAACAACCCTACATGTACCATTCAATCACGAAAACGGAGGCACAGAGTCTCGGATTTAGTAAATGGCAGATCTAGGGTGTGATCCAGAGATCAAGCTTTAAGCACTCTGCCATTCTCCAAAAATAAACGTGTGTCAAATCAAACGATAGAATGGAATTGACTAAAGTCTGGATATTGCTTCTTGGGAAGTATCATTCAAAGACAGTGTCACCTTATCTTTGGATCAATAGATGTTTGTTGCATACAATAGTCACAATCCTGATAGCTGGCGCCCAGAAACTCCTTTATTTCTGGAGTGGTGGCTCACGCCTATAATCCCACTGCCTGGGAGACCAAGGCAGAAGGATTGGTTCAGGCTAGAAATTCAAGACTTTTATTCCAAAAGCATTTCTTGAGGACATCCTATAAGGCGCAAGAGCTGCAGAGGTGACGAAGTCACTGAAAAACTTGAGGTCTAGTGCAGTTGGCAGGGTTATTCTAGTCCAAGCACTAATCAGGGTACATGAAACAGAGTGATTGCAGCAAATGTTTCTGTTTTTTCTTGTCTCTCTTATTTGTGCAAAGCTGTCTCAGAGTATCAATTAGCGAGTTAGACCATTTGCATATCAGAAAACCTGGCATTACCTTGGCCTAGTGTATGCTCCACATTCTTCTTATGAACTGGGGCATTTCTCTTCCCTTTTGATGTCATTCTTGCCTCACATGTACAGCAGAAGCAAGGAGACAATGTGGTTAATTGTAAATATAAGCTTCAGCTAATATTCAGTGAGTATTCCATTTTGCTTTCATGATGATTAATTTTTAAATGCCAAATTTGCAACAACAACAACAAAAGTGCCATTTTCTCAATTCTACCAGAGTTTGAAGGTGATTTATTCAAGCCTCATATGAGAACACTCCATGTAGAACACACTTGCCTTAGAGAGCCAGCATCACACATGGTGTTTTGTCTAGGAGTGCTGGTATATGAATATGAAGCTATTTTAAAAATCTGTGTAGAGATGGTTTAACAGCAAGTTTACTGACTGTCTATTTGATGGTTTTTGTCTCTGCCTTTTCCACAGAAAAGTCTGGACACATACTGTTTCCTAGTCTTTGCTACCATTTGTATCGCAGGTGCTACCTACCTATACTTTGTCTTGCCTGAGACCAAAAACAGAAGGCATGCAGAAATCAGCCAGGCATTTTCCAAAAGGAACAAAGCATACCCACCAGAAGAGAAAATTGACTCAGCTGTCATTGATGATAAGACAAACGGAAGGCCTGAACAAGATTCCTCCTCCACGCTGGACAATTATGTCAAAAACAGGATTGTCTAAATGGATGATCTCACCTTTCAGGAAACTAAAATTTTAACCATTATTGGGAGGCTTAAATGAATTGAAGCTATGCAAGTCTTTTATATTATTAAGTATTTACAAGTAAACCTGTACTAATCTAACATTGCAACTATGTTAGCATTATTCACAACTGAATTTCCCAAACTCTTCTGGAAGCTGCAAGGAATCACTCTATGTTTCAGTAGACCCAATGTTCTTTCATGTAGGTTGATGACCTGCCTTTATCATGACTCAACCCATGATTTCAAAATGAAATTGGGGAAATAGTATGTGAATGCTTTATCAAAGAAAAACAATTTGGCCTGATAGTGGACTCAATGGATTGGAAACCATAGATTAAGGTTCTAGTTTCAGCTTTACTACAAGCAACCTTGACCTGTCCTCAACCTGAATCCCAGTGCCTCAATGACCCTAGGCTTCATCCCGATTATAGGCTTTCAGAAGTCAGTAGAATGATTATTCATAGTGCCTAAGAAATGCGTTTTCCAATATTTGGCCTTAAATCTTAGGCTTTGGAGAACCTAATACCAACTCACCAGCCTGCAGATTTTGTCTTTCCCATACTGTGTTCCAGGAATGGGCTTAAGACTTCAGGGCTGACGCCGTCCTCACCCCAGACTATTAAGAGTCCCGTGTGCTCATAGAGAACATGAAGAAGAGCAATGTGTGGAAGACTTAACTTCCAGTAACTGCGGCATGAACTGACCTCTATCCAAATGAAAAACAATATTGAGAATGATTCTAAAGCTAAACATAGGCTTGGTGGGGGGGAAAAAAAACATTGTGATTAATTGGTGATTTCTGCCACAAGTGCGTAGCCAAGAGTGTCCGCATATATACCTTATGTTTACCAAGTCTAAGAGAGATTTCTCTAGAAAGATAATGAGCTGTCTTAAATGATGGGAAGTTCACCATCACTCTAAGAGCTCAAGTGAAGACCGGGTGATTTCTCATCTTGACTGTTGCTAAGAAAATCTGTATCAACTTTGGAGGACGGTGTTTGGAACAGATATGTTGAAGGGCTCCTCTAACTCTTACATGCTAGGGTTGTTTGGGTGAGAACCATTTGCAGCCTGCCATTGTAATGTGTGGCTTGTAGTTTGGGTGATTTCCTGTACTTGCCTCTAAACCAAAGTGCCCTAAAGTAAATTAAAGTGCACTTGAATTAGCACCAGTGTGTTTGAATTTGGTATTTCATAGGAGTAGGACCAGAAAGGACTTGTCTTAGCAATACCACTAGAATCCTTTCAGCCATAATCCCTTGGGTTTCCTCAGATCATTCTTGACAATGGCAGCCTTAGCCAAAACTTGAGTTCTGAGCTTCCTTTTCTGTGGAGTATTCTTTCATCATTGGGCCTTCCCTTTGGTTAATTACCAACTCAAGGCACCGTGCCATCCAGCTTTGGGTTGGCTGAAAAATTTGGACAGTGTTTGTCAAGACAAAGAGAAAGTGAGACCAAAAGTGCCTGAGACCAAAGAAACCACATGCAATGTAAAATAAAAATCTTCACTTTTTGATGTTCTCTTTTATTTGGAGACTTGAGTAGTTAGGCAATAAGTATTTACTAGATACCTACCACGGACCAGGCACTAGCTACGTACTAAAGATGCATCAGTAAACAATAAAATACACTGGTCTCACCTGCAAAAGCCCATGTCTACCAGAGAAGACAGAAAATCAAAGCATTAACTGTAAAGTTGTCACCAGTACTGTACTTTACAGTACATTAAAGTGTCATCAATACAGTGATATAGGAATATGCAACAGGGATGGTTGGGGTAAGAGGTGAGAATCAGGAAAACCTTCCCAAATAAGTGACAGAAATAGAATGGGGAAAAATATGACTATCGGGCAATAGGCCAGGAATTATTCTTACATGTTATATTACATTTGAAAAGCTCATAGAGCCATTTCTTACTGCATTTTCTATTGAGGCTGAAGAGTTCAAGGTCAAGGGGACGTCTGATGAGGGCCTTCTTACTGGTGGGGTCTCTACAGTCCTGAGGTGGCACGGGGAATCACATGATGAGGGGACTAACTGTGTTCGCTGGGGTCTTTCTTCTTTTCATAAAACCACCAGTCCCACTCCCATGATAACACAGTAATTCATTCACTCATTAATCCGTTAATTCACATGGACTCTGGTGACCCAATTACCTTTTAAAGACTCCACCTCTCAATGCTACCACATTGGGGATTAACTTTCAACATGACTTTTAGAGTGAACATTCAAACCATAGCAGCCACATTAAGGAAATTTTTGAAAAATAAAACAAAAAGACACTCACAACCTCATTTCCTTCACTCCCCCAACATGACCAATTTAATTTTTAGACAACTCTGTCCATTTATTGCTTATTATTCATCCAGATACAATCACAGAATACATGAAACACATTTACAATCATCTTGTCTTTTACCTTCTATTTTTTCCACTTTATATTAAACAAAATGCATCATCTCAATTCCAAAGCCTTTTGTTTATACTCTGATATTCACTGCAGTGAATTCTTCACATATAAAGTTGTTTATCAGGTACCCAAAGATAGGGGAGTGGTGAGTCAGAGAGACAGACATTTTCAGGCTCTAGTTCTTGGCTGAAAGGTTCTAGCCACTTACAGCACCCTGTATGCATTCACAGACCCTAAAAGCATCTCTAGTCAAATTAATAGGTCTCCTTTCCCAATTCCTGACCAGGGGTTGGGGATTAGGCCCTTGTCTTACCGTTTTACATATTCCCTCAACTCTAAGCCATGGAGGTTTACATTCCTTCTTTTCAGATTCACTGAAAGTCACTCTTCCAGCTGCTAGTTCTGGCCAAGTAAGCACACTCCACCCTATTTCTCCCACTCATCATAACTAGCAACCCTGGACAGAATCACGATGCAAACATATGAGGACTCTGAAAAATAAATTATATCAGGCAAACTGAAGAGAGAAATCAAAACTCAAGGGATAGTTAATATGGCAGTGAGCATCTCCCGACTTATACTCCAGGAAAGAGCAGCTTTGGAAACTGCGCAATGGCTGTGGACTGGAAAAACTGCAGGAGAAACTCCTGCCTCAGTTGCTGCCAGAGGGACAGGAAAGGGGTGACCAGTGGGGGGAAAAAGTGATCAGACTGATGAAAATCAAATATGAAGGAAAAAATCTTGAAAGGCACCCTAGAAAATCAACACATTACATAGAGTGAAAAATGATTTGGATGACTTTAGATTTCTCATCAGACACCATGTAAACCAGAAGAGACTGGAACAATATCTCAATTTTTTTTTAATGCTGAAAGAACTGTCAATCCAGTTTGAATGTTGTAAAGGCCCACCTATATGCTATTTACAAGAAGCTCACATTAAACCTAATGATATAGATAGGTTAAAAGTAAAAGAGTGAGGAAAGATATAGTATACACATGTCAATCAAAAGGAAGCTGGCATATTATATTAACAGTAGAAAAAGTAGACTTTGGAACAAGAAGAATTACCCATGATAAAGAGGAAATTATGTAGTTATAAATGGTCAATTCACCAAAAATATATAAATATTCTAAATACACATATATCTCAAATCAAGCTTCAGAATACGTGAAGCAAAAGCAGATCAAGCAGAAAGGAAAGGTAGGCAAATCTTCAGTTACAGTTGGAGACTTTCAATGCTCCTCTTTCAATAATCAATAGAACAAGTAGAAAATGGCAAAGCTATAGAAGACTCAAACACTATTAAACAATTTGACCAAATGACATCTGTAAAAAACTCCAAATAACAACTGCAAAATATATATATTTGTTTTAAGTGCATTTGGATCATTCACCAGGACAGATCATATACTGGGCCTTGAAATGAATTTCAACACATTTAAAAGGGTTCAAATCATTAAAAGTATGTTCTCTGACCATATGGAAATCAGTAACAGATATCTGGAAAATTCTCAAATTTTGGAAACTTAAAACATGCTTCTAAATAACCCATGAGTCAAAAAGGACATCTCAAAGGAAATAATAAAATATTTTGAAGTAAATGAAAGTGAAAGTAAAATTGATTTTTGTGGATTCAGGTAAAGCAATGCTTAGAGGAAATTGTATACTGTTACATTCTCTAAGTGCTATAATGCTCTCAAGTAAATAATCGAAGATTTCACCTTAAGAAACTAGAAAAATAAGACCAAACTATACAAAAAGCAAGCACAGGGAAGAAAATAATAAAGATAAGAATAAAAATACATGAAATCAAATATGGAAATATATCAAGATAAGAAAATCAATGAAATGTATCAAGATAAGAAAATCAATGAAACCAAAAACTGGTTCTTTGGAAAGATCAATATAATTGATAAACTTCTATCCAGGCTAACCAAAAGAGGGAGTATGGAAGAAGTGGTGTTGTGGAGAGGGAGGAAGGGAGGGAGGGAGAGAAAGAAAGGATGAGAGAGAAAGGACACAACTTGCCAAGCTTAGTAATGAAAGAGGTGATATTCCTACAGACCCTACAGATACTAGAAGGGTCATAAGGAAATACTGTCAATAACTATGCCGGTAAATTCAACAACTTTAAATAAAATAGATAAATTTTCAAAAGACACTATCAAGAGTCGCTCAAGAAAAAATACATAACCTGAATAGTTCCATGTTCTTTTAAAAAAACAGAATTCTTAGCTAAAAATTTCCAACAAAGAAAATTCCAGGTCCAGATGGCTTCACTGGAAAATTCTACCAAATACTGAAGGAAAATATCTACACAGTTTATGCCAAAAAATTCAAAAGGGAGAAATGCTTCCTAACTCATTTTATGAAACTAACACAAACCTGATACCAAAATAGTATAAGAAAATAAAACTCCAGACCGATATTCATCATAAACAAAGGCACACAATTTCTTATCAAATATTAGAAAGTTAAATGAACAATAAGAAAAGGATAATACACCACAACAAGGTGGAGAAATGCAAAGCCATTTCAATATTCCAAAATCAATCAATTTAATCCCCCATATTAACTGACTAAGGGGAAAAGAACATATGATTATACCAATAGATACAGGGGAGACATTTGACAAAATTCAACATCCTCCTGTGTTCAAAACACTTACCAAAATAGGAATAGAAAAAAGCTGTCTTAACCTGAAAAAGAGCATCTACAAAAAGCATACAGCTAACATCATAGTTAGTGGTGCAAAACTAAATGCTTTTCCCCTAAGATCACTGCCTCTATTTTTATTTCTATCACTGCCTCTATTCGCCATCATACTAGAAGTTCAAGTCAATGTAACACGGTGAGAAAAGTAAATAAAACACATAGAGATGGAAAAGCAAAACATAAAAAATAAAACGGCTTCTATTCATATGCAACATTATTGTCTACATATTAAAACTCAAAGAATCTACTAAACTAAAAAGTTAACAAGTTTACAGAATAGAAGTTCAACACACAAATATTCATTGTATTTCTCTGTACTATCAATGAACAACTAAAAACTAAATAAAAAATGTTGCTATTCATAATAGTTCTAGAAACAAGAAATACTTGGTTAAATATCTAAAAAAACATAGTCGTGTTTTTTAGTTTTCTGCCCAAAACTACAAAACACTGATGGAATAAGTCCAAGAACCAATAAATGGAAATGTATACTATGTTCACTGAATGAATGACTTTACTGTTAAAAGGTCAGCCTTCTTTGGCAGGGCGCAGGGGCTCACGCATGTAATCCCAGCATTTTGGGAGGCTGAGGCAGGCGGATGACAGTTCAGGAGATCAAGACCATCCTGGCCAACATGGTAAAACCCCATCTCTACTAAAAGTACAAAAATTAGCTGGGTGTGGTAGAGCGTGCCTATAACTACAGCTACTTCGGAGGCTGAGGCACAAGAATCACTTGAACCCAGGAGGTGGAAATTGCAGTGTGCCAAGATCACACCACTGCACTCCAGCCTGGCAACAGAGCAAGATTCCATCTCAAAATAAATAAATAAGAGTCAATCTTCTTAAATTTATCTATAGATTTAACACAATCTTAATCAAAATTCCAAAATAAATTTTGTAGAAATTAACAAACTCATTCTAAAATGTACACAAATGGCAAAAAGTTTTGTAAACAAAGAATGAAGTTAGAGGACTCATACCACCTGATTTTAAGATGTATTCTAATTCTACAGCAATCAGGACACTACAATATTGATGAAA